ACCCAGAACCCTGATAAGTATGGTAGGCAGGCACGTGTCTCAGTCGCTTAGGAAAAGAGGATATTCAGTTAGAGGAGCGGGCGTTTGTAGAATCTTGCTTGTAGCACAGTGCAGATCTACATCTAAAGTATTATCTGTTGTTGACCTATTAAAATGAACTTTTTAAGTACTCGGTGTTCTTGTTAAGAAATAACACTATTTCTCAATACATGCACTTTTGTTGTCAAATGTAGATACAGGCTTTTTTGTTAAATTAGTTTATTTTTTATGAGAATCCAGAGCTATTAAAATATCAATGTTGTAAACAAAATCTCTGCCTTGTAAACTGCTCCAAATGCAGGAATACAGTATAGTTAGGATAATTTTTTTTTTTTTACACTGCTATGCAGTTTGGAAAACATTTATGGTGTATAGTCAGTCTATCAAAATGTGGCTTGTTCACATTTGCCCTTGAATTTTAAAAATGTTGTATCACTTTCCTGGTACATCTCCCTTACAGCATATATAGACAGCTGGTTCCAGTCTTTCTTTTACTTGATACCACATTGCTACTTTGTTTAAAATATTATGTTTTCAATCATTATGCAATATTTTTTTTCAGTGTCTGTTGAAATCCTAATAAAACTTTTGGAGTTTCTCTTTTAGTATGATTGTACTTTTTTTAAAGCTTATCACCAGCCTTCCAGTGTTCAAACATGGTGCTCAATGTCTACCTATAGGATTCCAGTAAGTACTCAAAAAATCAAGTTACATAAAGGAATCTATTTACAAACATTTAAACATTGCATAACTTGGAAGTGATTAATATGTATTCACATTCACTTCATTATGAGGATCAGTCATTCCTTTATAGACTATACATCCATTTCTATTGTTTTGGTCTATTACGCAGCATAGATGTCTTTCCACATTTGAAGATTCAACTACATAACATTGAAGACTCATATTGTGTCTTGTAGGTTTACCTGTTCTTTCTGAGTAATAAATTGGAAAGATTGTCTGATCAACATGATACACGCTTATGCTGACAGTTTGCAAAGAACATTTTCAGTGTACTGTCTCATGAGTAAATTTTTCTGTAGAAAGTGGTTGCTTAAAATGGTACAGAAGCAAAAATTCAGGGTGGTTTTTAGATAACAATTGTAGTTCAGATTGTTTGTGGAATGGCAAAATATAAAACAAAAGCTCATTAAAATAGAAGACTCTGCCCAGAGAAATTGACCTTTTGCCCTGCTATTTGCTAATATGAGTATGCTAATAGTCTTTACAAACAAAAATGTACCTATACTACATAAATCTGATAATAAATTTATCTAAACTGTGTCGAGTAACATGGTGTGACTCATGGTTTAATTTCAGCCATTACAGCCTTGTGGCTATTTTACTTTTTAGACAGGCCACATTAGCCTTTTGTTTTTCCTCTCTCTGTAAGTGGATTAGGTATTCTGCTGTGTAAGGAAATGTTTTTTGTCTCACTTTAACTTTCTTGATGCTTAAAGTATTCTAGAGGATTTGCCTGTATGTTTTAGCTTGTTTTTCTGAGAATACTACTGCTAAACTATCTTCATAGGCTCTTATCTGCTGAATGTACCTTCCTAAAATGAGATTTAAGTTCAGTGGAGAAGTTGATGCTTGCTGTAATATCAGAAAGCAGACAAATTCTTTCAGTCAGAATGTCTATTCAGCCATCTTTGATCATTTTCAGATGAGCAAAATCTTGTGGTTGTTTACAGCACTGAGGAAAAAATAGCATTCAGATAGTGTTTATAAAAAGTTATGACATGTAAAGCAGAGACAGTTTGAAGAATGGGATTCTCATAGTGTGACTGTTTGGCATGTCGTGAATATTGTAGCAGTAATCCAAACTGGAGATGAAAACTGAATGGAGAAGCAGGCTTAAAGTAACAAAGGCATCCAGTCCCAGCATAGAGACTCTGCTGAGGGACTGTGTTTGTGAGACTGCTGGGAGTTTGACTTGTGTATGCCACAGCTGTCTTTTACTGATGATTTATCAGTCTTTCCATGATAGCAGGAGTGACCCTACTGTGATTGGAGCTCTATAATGTGCTTTAGTTGTAAACTGTCTCCAAGTGCCGCCTGTGTTCCTGAATCAAGTATTAGCTAAGTTGAATGCAGTCCTCTCTGCTGAATACAAGGGTTGTATTTGGTGTAGGTTCTACATGCTGGTAGTGTCAGAGGCAATATTTGGTAAGACTAATAGAAAAATAAGGTCCTTTGGATATGGAGAATTCGTCTGCATGGTTTCCATTAGTATTTGCCAGAAAAAGGGAATAAAAATGTGTTAGGGAATGCAAGGAGCAAAATAAGAAGACTGCTAGCATTCACTATAACTTGGTAATGGCCTGGTAGTTGAGACAACATTATTAATCATCATTAGATGCACTATGAAATGTGACAGCAAAAGTCCACACCTCTGCCATTTTGACAAACCAAATTCTGCCACAGATGCAGTAGTAGGTATGCAGACTGGTTATAGCCTCAGGTAGTAGAAAAATGTATACGAAATAAGCATGTGTGACTTTAACTGCAAAACACAGGAAAAAAGCTAGAAGTTCATGAGGTATGAATTCACATAAGGCTAGATTTATAGAATCAATCAGAAAAATGTGATTTCTGCCTTGATATTTCAGTGTTCTGGTGCTTAGTTTCATCCTAAACTGTGCTGACATTTATTTATTTTAAATCATAAAATGAATGAATTGCAGAAAAATAGTAGTAGGAAAAGTTGCAGTGACCTTGCAAAATTATTTCAGTTTGACAGTGTCGTAATGTAGTATCGAACTGAGAATTTTACAATATTAAAAAATGGAACAAAAAAAATAGGTGGTAATATATGCTTTTCATTTAAGGTTTGATTT